GACCATTATAAAGTTTACATCTAGCAGATGTGGCAGTTAGAAATACTATTGACAGGGATGGTGTCAAACACTGATACGGAGAAGATGAAGAAATCGCAAACGCTAACACGCGCGATGATCCCAGCGCGGTACAGAACGCCAATGAGCAAGTACATTTCGGTAACCGCGGAATTGATGCACGAGAATTGGAAGAAAATATGGGTCCTCACGTTGTGGATCCTCATCAACGTCTATCTATTCATGTGGAAGTACGAAGAATTCATGAAAAACCCTCTCTACAACATCACCGGACGCTGCGTTTGTGCCGCTAAAGGCGCGGCCGAAACGCTTAAACTCAACATGGCTCTGATTTTGGTCCCGGTTTGTAGAAAGACCCTAACGATCCTTAGGTCAACGTTCTTGAACCGTGTGGTCCCATTCGACGACAACATAAACTTCCACAAGGTGATTGCTTTTGCGATCGCGTTTCATTCCGTACTCCACACGTTACTACACATCCTCTGTAACTACCCTAGATTAAGCTCGTGCTCTTACGACGTGTTCTTGAAGTACGCGGGAGCTGCCTTGGGTAACACGCAACCGAGTTACCTAGGTTTAATGATGACATCAGTGTCGATCACGGGGGTTTTAATGATTTTCTTCATGGGATTCTCGTTTACACTAGCGATGCATTATTTTAGAAGGAACATAGTGAAATTGCCTAAACCGTTTAACGTTCTTGCTGGGTTTAATGCGTTTTGGTATGCTCATCACTTGCTGGTTCTTGCTTATGTTCTTCTCATCATCCATGGTTACTATCTTATCTTCGAGAAGCCTTGGTACCAAAAGACGGTAATGTTTTTTTTTAAAATTTACTTTAATATAGAACAAATATCTTTGTTTTGTTGATTTGTATTTTTTTGGTAAATTGAAATGCAGACATGGATGTACTTGGCCGTACCAATGCTGTTCTACGCAAGTGAGAGACTTTTCTCACGTCTCCTTCAAGAGCATAGCCATCGTGTCAACGTCATTAAGGTGATTAGAAAAGGCTATATAAAAGTTTTGTCTATATTAAGTAAAACCAAGTTTTGCAGACAAAAAACAAAGTAAAACCAAGA